TAGTAGATGATGGTGGTAGTGTGAAAATTATAATTTTGGAGCATAGACAAATTACTTTAAGGGAAAAATAAAGACCAGGATTATTAACAAGCTGAATATTGTATTATCATGTTTACCATCATTTCCTTAGATTTTATTTTATCTAAAAGTAATATCTTAGTCGCTGCAGCCAGTTATGTTTCATCATTTTACCAATGTGGCAGACATTTTGATAAATTTCCTTTGTGGCATCGTTGCATTGCGTTGCACTTTTATTTGCCATATTAGATGTTTTAATAAAATTCACTTGCTTCTTTTTTTCTGCCATTTACTATACATATACATTTGCAGTGGTAAAGTTAATTTCCACTAGGAATACATACATATATTTTAATACTACAAGGATACAATAATTAATGCGTGTAAATAAATCCTTTTATGTGAAACATAAATGTAAAACTTTAGATGTTTCCAAGAAAATGATGATACTTTAACTTGTTCTTCTACTACATAAAAGCACAATTAACTATTACAAAAAAATATAATAGTTTGCACTTCTTTAGAAAATTCTTAGGCGACGTATTAGTATGCGACTGGCCTAATTATCAAGACTAAGTACTGCAATATAAATATAATATTAAATATTTTATTATAATATTTGGAATTTTATTATTTTCGTGTATGATTTCGTCCTTATGAAGCAACAATATTAACATATTTACAAACGAATAATATGTGAATGTTTCACAGTAATCCATGATTTTAAAACACATAATTATTAGACAGATTGTTCAGTATATATTCCCAACAAAAACATGATAATGATGTGCTTGTACCCAACAACTTATTTTTCAATGACTACTACATACCATCTGCGTTATTTATAAGTAATGGCTTACAAATAACTATATACATGCATAGGTAAGTACTTACATTTTAAGTCTTCCCATTTTATTTTCGAGTTTTATTTTTTTACACAAACGGATAAAAGTAGTATGAAAACTATTAGATGCAGTGGACGTGTCTTGTTCGGCTATTTATACACTACACCACTATAGTGGGCAGGGTGTTATACGTTTGTGTTAATGTTTGAAACGCAAAAAATATCGGTCCACCTTAAAGTATACCAATCGGCTTAAAATCATTTTCTGATTCGATTAAAACATGTCCGCCCGTCTATCATTCAAAATACAGGTCGAAATTTTAAATATAATTCAATGAATTTTACTCTTAATACTTTTGGCCGAGGACGATCCCTATTAATTTTGATTAAAATCTGACCATCATTTCACCTAACTCATAGTTATGTGTAGTACAACTAAGTTTTATACTACCCTTGATCGAATTTTGCACTGAGCGGGCCTCATGTGACCCTAGCCCCTATACAAAGCACCCCATTATAAAATTACTTAAATGTCCAAAATTTACCTTAAAAGGTGAGCGCGGTAAGTACTTACTTCCAATGTTATCACAGTATTAAAATAATGACGTATGGAAATTGTAGTATTTTAACAGCTTACTTGGCAAAGAAAGTTTTTGCTAGGTTACTAAGTAATATTTTATAAAATATAATATAAACTTTTCTATACTTAGTAATTGTACTTTAATAATATGTTAAACAAGTATAATTTAATTTTCTCCGGATTCAATTCGTATTTGGTGAATCTTGGTGCTCACATATGACTGCTTGGTAACTCCCACTTAAGCAAACTCTGATTTATTGTGGGCAACAATTTGGGTCTTAAACGGTTGGGCGGGAGGGGGCGAGGGCGGCGGCCGGGGCGAAAGGACCCCACGAACTAACGAACGAACTAACGATACGAACGAAACGAACGAACGAACGAACGAACGAACGAACGAACGAACGAACGAACGAACGAACGAACGAACGAAAACGAACGAACGAACGAACGAACGAACGAACGAACGAACGAACGAACGAACGAACGAAAACGAACGAACGAACGACGAACGAACGAACGAAACGAACGAACGAACGAACGAAAACGAACGAACGAACGAACGAACGAAACGAACGAACGAACGAACGAACGAACGAACGAAACGAACGAAGAACGAACGAACGAACGAACGAACGAACGAAGAACGAACGAACGAACGAACGAACGAAACGAACGAACGAACGAACGAACGAACGAACGAACGAAACGAACGAACGAACGAACGAACGAAGAACGAACGAACGAACGAACGAAGAACGAACGAACGAACGAAGAACGAACGAACGAACGAACGAACGAACGAACGAACGAACGAACGAACGAACGAAACGAACGAACGAACGAACGAACAACGAACGAACGAACGAACGACGAAACGAACGAACGAACGAACGAACGAACGAAGAACGAACGAACGAACGAACGAACGAAACGAACGAACGAACGAACGAACGAACGAACGAACGAACGAAGAACGAACGAACGAACGAACGAACGAACGAACGAAACGAACGAAGGAAAAACGAACGAACGAACGAACGAACGAACGAACGAACGAACGAAACGAACGAACGAACGAACGACGAACGAAACGAACGAACGAAACGAACGAACGAAAACGAACGAACGAACGAAAGAACGAACGAACGAACGAACGAACGAACGAACTAACGAACGAACGAACGAACGAACTAACGAACGAACGAACGAACGAACGAACGAACGAAACGAACGAACGAAACGAACGAACGAACGAACGAACGAACGAACGAACGAACTAACTAACGAACTAACGAACGAAAACGAACTAACGAACGAACGAACGAACTAACGAACAACTAAATAACTAACTAACGAACGAACTAACTAACTAACTAAACTACTAACTAACTAACTAACTAAACGAACTAACTAACTAACTAACTAACTAACTAACGAACTAACTAACTAACGAACTAACGACTAACTAACTAACTAACTAACTAACTAACTAACTAACTAACTAACTAACTAACTAACTAACTAACTAACTAACTAACTAACTAACTAACTAACTAACTAACTAACTGACTAACTAACTAACTAACTAACTAACTAACTAACTAACCAACTAACTAACTAACTAACTAACTAACTAACTAACTAACTAAGAAGTAATTTATAGCTACGACGAAGTTTTTTATAATGCTCGTTGAAGAGTTTCTGTATGCGTAATTTTTTTTGCGGACTTCTGACTGCACCCCTGGTGGTCCAAATTCAAAACGTAAACTTGTCAACACTTGCTCTTTAAGTATGTGATATTACATTAGAATCGGACAAACCGAGTTATTTTCCTCTTTCATATTTCTATACCACTGTGTCAGATAACCCTTGCAGAAGATATGCCATCTATTGTGAATCCTTCATTCATAGGTTATATACCCAATAATACATAATCAAATTATTTATGTTTTAAACAATTATGAAATATTGAATATGATGTACATTAGGCGAGTTCCGTAAGTGAGGAATTAATATATTTTTTTATATTAAAAATTTTGTTATAAATATAGAATTTAAATTTTGTATATTACTTAAAGTTATATTTATCCAGTTTATACACATTCCAAGTACAAACTATTTATTTTTTAACTTTGACATTTTTTTTTAAGAGCCAGCCTAATCTAAATATGTATAACAAGTAGAAACAAAGATATTATTTTAATAAAATTTCAATTAAACGATGAGTTATAATTAATTTTGTAAACATGAGTGCAAAGCAAAAAAAAATTGTCTACCAATTACACATTGTTTGAGTTTTAACTAATAACATCAATATTATAAATTGATTTACATTTGCATAACATAATCGTATTATTATCATCATATTTCTACATCAAACAATCAAAAATGTTTGTCAAGTTCAATATTTAAATTAATATAAATTTTGCAATTCATAAAATTAGATTGTTAATATGAAAATTGCAAAATAATAATTAATTAGTATTGGGAATAAACGAAATTTATTTGAGAACATGTTTAGAAGAAATTTTTTGTGTTGCAATAAATTGATTTAGCCATACTCAATGGGGCAGAAGGCGAATTTTAGTTATTGTACTATGTACATCTAGGTTAAATGCATTGTGTAGATATATAGATCAATTAACAAGTTATATGATTTTAACAATTTTATTTAGCTTGTGGAAGCCTGTATCGAATAACTAGTGATTACATTTCTTTGAAATTAATCTTCAAATGGTGTTGATTTGTTAAACGTGTTAGGCGGTTGTAATTAAGGTGTCAAATATAAATCAAATTTAATGTGAGTACAAACTTCTTTTTTATCCTTTTCATAAAAAACTACTTACATTCCTCAAAATTATTTCTTTGATGCTGAGTTAATGTGCAAAAAGTAACGATAATGTCCATGACCGTAAACACTTTATAACTCTTTAATATATTTATTACACGTTTTTAAATATTTACACCTTCACATATTAGGGTGATTTCTTTTTAGGAAATTTTGTATTAGAAAATTTTGAAAAATTAAGATCTTTTTCATAAAACTATGTCGATTAAATCTCGTATTATAAAATGATTGAGATAAAGTTTAGAAATACTTTTGGACATCTTTTCTATATTTAGAACAAGTACGAGTGCTATATTCTAATGTGCCGAATCTCATATACCCACCATCAAATCATGTGTCTAAAATTTCAGGTGAATTTCGGAAAGTCGATCTATACTATGTTAATTTTTTTTTTTTTTTTTTTTTTTTTTTTTTTTTTTTATTGAATTCATTAGTAATCAAAAAAAAGCCTTGTTTGGCCTATAAATTACATAGATGTCTTATAGAGTAGGTGTAAATAAATTTTATAAATATATATTATTTTTTTTTTATTTAAACTTATAACTAATTCTAATTGCACGAATATGTATATAAAGATTTAAAATAATAATATGTAAAGTCCATAGTAGCCAAATTTATGATGTTTATTATACATGATTCTTAAATAGTTCTTGAAAGTTGTGTAAGTTTTGTGAAAAATTGCGAGCATCATAAGGAATAATATTATTCCATAGCCTACATATTCTGGCAGAAAATGACCGGTGCATATAAAGAGTATTGATTCTGGGACATATTATTGCAGATGTTCGTGTTGAATGAGAAAAAGAAACAAGATCTTGTAGATATTGAGGACTTCCATTTTTTTTATTTTGTAAAACAGAGTAATTAATCTAAAATCTATAAAGTCCCTAAAATCTAACCCAAGAAAGTCTCTAGTTTCAGCTGACACATGTGCTCTAAAATCTAACTTATAGACAAATCGTATAACTCTGTTAAAGGATTTTCTCAATTTAATAATATTTCCTGCTGATGTGGATGAGTATATCTCCATACCATACATAAATATAGGCATTATCAGAGTTTTAGCAATTAGTTTCCTAATTTGAAAGGGAAAAAAATATCCAAGTGTATTTATTTTCTTAAGAGTCATCGATACTTTAGAAATAATATTATGTATATGATTTTCAAATGATAACTGATCATCAAGATGAAAACCCAAGGACTTAAATTTTGATACATATTCAATATCTACTCCATTTAATTTTAGCGGTGGTAAGTATCTAGTACTATTACCAAATCTCATTGCATACGTTTTCAAGGGATTTAGGGATAGTTTATTTTCATCTGACCACATAGAGATAAGGTTTAAATCATAGTTAAATAAATTAATGAAATCAGATATGGATATATTCCCATTCGTACTAGCAAACAGCTGTATATCATCTGCATAATTTTGTGCATTACAGAAAGAAATTGAGCTATGAAGATCATTTATAAACATCATAAACAGTAACGGAGCCATAATGGAGCCTTGAGGTACACCGTGATAAATCCTGGCATATCCTGATGATCTGTTATCAACTTTCACAAATTGATACCTATCACACAGAAATGATTGTATCAATTTACAAACTGAATTAGAGAACTTAAATTGATTGCGTAACTTTCGCAATAACAATACATGATTAATGGAATCAAAAGCTTTCCTAAAATCTAGAAAAACAACAACAGATCCATGATTTTGATCTATGCTTTTTCTAATTTTCTCAGTAACATCTAAGACTAGTGTGGTTGTGCTATGACCAGCTCTAAATCCCGACTGACGCGGCGATATTAGAATATTTTGGTCCAGGTAATTTACAATTAGTTTATTCATCATTACTTCCATTATTTTACTACAGATTGGGAGGATACTTATAGGTCTAAAGTCCGTGAGATGCCTAGGATTTCTTATCTTGGGAATTGGAACTATTCTAGCTAGTTTCCAATTATTTGGATATGCATTAGTCATCAAAATTGTATTGTAAATATGTGTGAGAGGTTTAATAATATAAGGTAGGATAATACGTAGAAATCTAATGCATATACCATCCGGACCAATGGATTTTGATTTAATATAAGATACAGCGTGAATAACATCATTTTCATCAAACCTTCCAAAATCAAAACCATTGTTCATTCTATTGTCATAAATAAATGTATCTCTAATAGAATCACCTTCCGGTACTATAAAACTATTATTTAAAATGTCTAAATCTTGAAAATTTTCACAATTTCCCTTAGCTATAATACCCGTAGATTTCAGTTTATCCCAAATTCCACCTGGTACTTCAGCACTAAAAAATTGTTTGGCCGCTTTTTTTCTAATTTTCCTTATAGTCATTTTCAGTTTATTGCAGTACTTGCAAAAAATTTTCCAACAATTGCTGTTCATATTTTCCTTATAAGCTTTAAATGCTAAATTTCTTAACTCCTTTGCCTCATTTATCTCCCTGCAATTAAACCAGTTTTCATTTCTACGTATATATTTTTTTTTTATAGGAATATGGTCATTATATAAATTTAATATAAAGTGATTAAACTGATCTACTTGACTATTAGTATCAGAAGTTCCGTAAATACCATCCCAATTTATATATTGTATATCTCTTTCACAGTTAGTCAAATTAATGTGCGCATAATCTCTATAAAATATGTAATCAGGGGAGTAATTCATTTTAAGAGATATCGATATGTAAATTAGAGCATGGTGAGAATTTAGACCCGGAATTTGAAACTGTCCTGAAACTTCAAGAATATTAATGTCAGATATTAAGAAAAAGTCTATAAGTTTGGTAACATGATAGTGACTATCAAAATGAGTTGGCAAACTGTTATGAACTAAATGTAGGTTGTGATCATTACAAAAATTTCTTACCAATGCACTATTTTCAAATATATTTGTATTAAAGTCTCCCATAAATACACTATATCCATACTGAGCCGACAAATCATCAATAAGATTTTCGCATAATGCAAATCTACCATGAGGTAGATAAATAACTCCTACAAGTATCCTCGTAGTTATATTAATTTCGATTTCAATAATAAGTGCTTCACAGATACCTTCATCCATGACTTTATGTATAACCCTTGACTTAAGTTTGCTAGAAATGTATATACATACTCCGCCACCCTTTCTGATAATTCTATCATTCCGATATAATTTATATCCATCAATACTTACTGCCATATCCGGTAAACTTTCTCTGAACCACGTCTCACTAATTCCAACTACATCTAAGTAGCATCCTTGCAAAATCTGCCTTACTTCTTCTATTTTTGCTGAATTTCTAGATGGGGAAATGCTTTGCGCATTGAAATGACCGATATTAAGATTACCTTTAATTAATTTATTTCTTAATATTGTATTATCACTGGCTACAGGACCTATATTATTATCATATGAATTCAATGTAAAAGAAAATACATATTCGTGCAAAAAGAACATTACTTAAAAAGTAATTAATATTTCTAACTAATATTATACTATAAATTTGAAATACTGACATTTATTATTTTAAATAAACATCGTAATCCGTAAAAAAAACTAATTCAGCATATTTTTATATTTCAGAGTGCAATATTAAGTAGTTATTTTCTTTGGTTTATACAATGTTCTATGGATTTTTATTATTTATTTTGTTGTATATCTTGTATAAGAAAAATAATTGAAAAATTCATCTTTAAATTAACTTTTATTTCACATTTTTTGATATTTTATCATTTTTACATATTTTATTTCAATAATATAAATCATTATTTTTATAGTTATAATTAAACAAGTTTTAGTCTTTTTGTATGTTTAAAAATAAAAAATATATATATATCAAAAGAAAAAGAAAAAAAATAAAAGAAATTTAAAGAAAGAAACAAATATATTTATAATGGTAATAATAAAAATTATGACAATTTATAATATTGATTAAATTTTATGTGTGTTTATAGTTTGAGAATAAAAATTATTAACACCGTGTAGAATATAAGGAAAACAACAGTATAAAATAATGAATTAACGAGTAATAATAGAATGTAATTGAGAAAAAATAGTATTAATCACAAAAAGTAGAATACAATTTTAGATAAAGATATAATTGAAAAAAAAAAAATAGTATTAATCACAAAAAGGTAGAATACAATTTTAGATAAAAATATGGTAAGGAACATGTAAGTAAAATAATATAAAGAAATCGAGAAAAATATGTATAAGAAAAATGTTAAACATATTATGAAATGTAAATAATCAATTAATATATAAATGTACAATTTAATTTAATAAGGCTCCACATTCTTCTAACGTTAGAATCTTCTCAGATCCATTTTTAAATGTAATTTTTCCTTTTGGGTAATCATAGTTTAGTAGTTTAAATCTTTCTATTTTTTTCTCTCGTATGAGCTTTCTGCCAAGATATTTTAGTTTTGATGCCGCTGCAGTTAAATTATCGTTCAGGAACACCCTTGCCTCAATGTCACAATCTTCATGTTCCGTGGTTTCGACTGAGTTTTCATCCTTGTTATCGTCAATATCTTTAAATATTCCACGAATTTGATTTAGTTTTAAATCATATTTCTCTTGATATTTTCGCATAACAATGTCTCTTTTGGCTATGTTGTTGAATTTAATTAATACAGCTTTTTTATTATGAATCCAACAAATAGTGTTAATTTCCGTGTCCTTTAATTCGATATTATAGTGTTTACAGATGCCCATGATTACATTAATTAAATTTTTGGATTTTATTTTTGTTGGTATTCCATTAACAATTATGTCCGCCCTGTTTATTTGTTTACGTAGAGAGTTGTTCTCCATTTCCAATTGCTTAAATTTATCAGAGGATTCTTTTTCTAGTGTGTTAACTTTTTCCACACAGCTGTTAAGTTTGTTGGAAATGTCATCTAATTTAGTGGACATTTCTGCAGATATTTGCACCGGAATGTCTTGAATACGTGCCTCCATATCGCAGAGCTTTTCAGCAATATCACTTAGGTTTATTTCTTTTTAGATTTACACAACATGCATTTGTATAGTATATCTTCACTGTTATTACTTACATATTTGGCTGCATCAGGATTTAAACCAGGTGTATTTTCAATTGCACAATTCATATGTAGACTTTTTTTACAAAAACTACATTTAATAACCTCATCAGTTCGCTTAAGAGGATTTTTACACTTTGTACAATTGGCATTTGATATAGCAACTTTGGGTGGCATTTTTATTAATATATATGTATATTTTTAATTATGTATTCTTAAGTAACAAAAAATTTTTAAAATTTTTAACCGGCCAGCTTGTTTATTTTTTTTTACCGTGTTTTAATTTTATTTAAGTAGTTCAGTTCACTTTATTTCATTTTCTCTTTTTTATTTCATTTGGATACATAAGTATTAATTCAGCTGTGCGATATGGCTTTTTCTATTCCTTTATATGTTTGTTTCATTATTAGTTATTCAGCTTTATTTTTTTTTCCTCTGCTGTATTCATTTATTTCACTTTAGTGCAGTAATTCAGCTGTATGTTTATTTCTTTGTGTTTTTATTTCTTATGTTATCCTCGTTGTTTCAACTGATTTGTTTTTTAGAAAATTTCTTTTTCAGCGTGCTTTATTTTATTCTTCTTTTCTCGACTTTGCTTTAGGCATCACTTTTCAATACACTAATTCAGCTGCTTATTTGATCATGCACATATTAACTTTTCATATTTCTTATCTGTTGTCTCACTTTAGTTGTTTTTATTTTTCATTTGCCTTTTTGCTATTATTTCTTAAATAACTTTGCTTAATTTCTTGTTTGTCCTATTTTAGTGCAGTAATTCAGCTGTTTGTTTTATTTATTTATTTTATTTCTTATGTTACACTCGTTTTAGGATAGAGTTAAGCAACAAGGAGTATTTCTTTCTTTTGTTTTGTAACTGATTTGTTTTTAGAAAAATTTCCTTTTCAGTGTGCTTAGCTTTATACTTCTTTTTCTCGACTTTGCTTTAGGTATTATTATTCAGTACACAATTTAGCTGCTTTTTAACTTTTTATATTTCGTATGTTGTCTCACTTTAGTTGTTTTTTTTTCATTTGTCTTTTAGCTATTATTTCTTTAATCACTTTGTTTATTTTGTTGTTAGTTTTGTTTTAGTTTATGTATTTTTAAATAACAAAAAGATTTAACCGGACCAGTTTATTTACATTTATTTTGCATTGTTTTTATTTAACGTTCAGTGCAGTAATTCAGTTTACGATAGAGTTGAACAATAAAATGTATTTCTTTGCCTTTGTTTTTTAGAAAAATTTCTTTTTTCAGTGTGCTTTACTTTATTCTTCTTTTTTCGAATTTGCTATAGGCATTACTCTTCTGTACACTAATTCAGCTAATCAAATATATCATGCACATATGTTTAAATTTTTATATTTTTATGTTGTCTCACTTTAGTTGATTTTTTTTTTTTTATTTTATTTGGGTTTTTGCTATTATTTGTTCAATCACTTTGCTTAATTTCTTGTTTATTATATTTATTTTGTTTTTGTCTGTTTGCAATTTAGATAATTTTATTGTAATAGTGTTTTGTATTGTTTTATGAGTCAATTTAACTATATATTAATTAGTTGCTAAATAATTTCTCCCTTTTGAGTATTCTTATGTTGCATAATACATTAAATTATTTCTATCTCACTTCATCTGTATTATTCAGCAATATCAAACACGTTTTTCTTTTTTCTAAGAACTGCAGTAATTACTGAACCTAAATTTGATTATACTTTTTATATACATAAATGTTTGAATTTTATTAATTATAATTATAATTTTGGATTTTATAATTATAATTTTGGACCGATCTCCTAAGATTTTACCAAGATTTTGGTTTCAATAAAACTTGTCGAATATCAATATGGCCCGATGCTCATAAAATTTGACAAAAAGATTTTAAATCCCATAAAACTAGTTCATGATGAATTTTATCGCTATACTGGTATTTTTAAGTTATGGCCGTTAATGTCATTCTATAATAGGGGATAAGGTCAATTACGGACCTATCCTCAAAAAATTTGACAGTTACAATTATGTTCCTATAAAATTTGTTTATGTCGAATTTCATTGCTTCACTATCATTTTGAAGAAGTTGTTTATGTCAAATTTCGTTGCTATTCTTCAATGTTGAAGCAAGTTGTTATGAGTGTTAAAGCTATTATATGAGGACCTTATATGGGGGGGGGGGGGTTGATAGAATATATACTATGAACCAGGCATGGGGGGTAATGATTACACAAAGTAATTCATTACATGGTCAATTACAATTACTTGTAATGTGTAATTGAGCAATAACCAATTACAATTACTTGTAATTGTAATGGAAATTTTTCCAATTACAATTACTTGTAATGTGTAATTGACCAATAACCAATTGCAATTACTTGTAATTGAAGTTTTGCCAATTACAATTACTTGTAATTGTAATTGAAATTTTCCAATTAAAATTACTTGTAATTGTAATTAAGGTATTACTAATTACAAATTACATTTAATTATAAGGAACAAAATTCACAATTACAAGTAATTGTAATTGGAAATTCCTCATATATATCTTTGTGGGTCCATGACCAATATTTCGACGTGTTACAAACGGAATGACAAAAACAATATACCCCTCATCTTTCTTGATTTGTATTTTTTTATAGAGAAATTTTGATAAATTTTCTTTTTCTAGAAAATTTGCGATAAATTTTCTTTTTATATGACATTTCGATAAACTTTCTTTTTATATCTAATTTTCGATCCATTTTCTTTTTATACAAAATTTTCGATCCATTATTTTTTTATACAAAATTTTCGATCCATTTTCTTTTTATAGAAAATTGTCGATCCATTATCTTTTTATACAAAATCTTTTCTATAATAAAAAATTTTCGATCATTTTCTTTTTTTCGGTCATTTCGTTTTATAGAAAATTTTCGTTAAATTTCTTTGACAGAAAATTTTTGATCAAATATTTTTTTGTAGAATATTTTCGATGAATTTTCTTTTTATAGAAAATGTTCGATGAATTCTTTTATATTCTTTTTATAGACAATTTTCGATGAATTTTCTTTTTATAGAAAATTTTCGATGAATTTTCTTTTTATAGAAAATTTTCGATGAGTTTTCTTTTTATAGAAAATTTTCGATGAGTTTTCTTTTTATAGAAAATTTTCGATGAATTTTCTTTTTATAGAAAATTTTCGATGAATTTTCTTTTTATAGAAAATTTTCGATGAATTTTCTTTTTATAGAAAATTTTCGATGAATTTTCTTTTTATAGAAAATTTTCGATGAATTTTCTTTTTTAAAAATTTTCGATAAATATTCTTTTTATAAAAAATTTTATGTAATAAATTAAATGTAATAAACGCCCTAATATGTTCTTGTTGTTGTATGTATGTACTGTAAATAATTTAAAATATTTGTCCATCTTTTCATATTTCAAACATGAATGTTAAAATTACATACAAAGTATGACTTTAATTAGAATTTCATTTTGCAATACCCTCTGACTGTACAAGTCAATTATTAAAATGGGGTGTTAATGTCTTTTATGTTGTTATAATTATAAACACAAACAAACTCCAAAACTCATTACTAAATTTCAATTGCCATACATTGTTGTACTACAAAGAATTGAAATTTCACATACACAAAAAATTACTCATACGCTCTGGTGGTTAGAAATAAAATTAATTTTTTGGGAGTTTTTTAAACACATCCTTCATATCAAGTGTTTTTTCTCATTTTATACTTTTATTTTTCTTTTCTAACCAAATTAAATAAATAATTATACACGCAACAATAAAATAACAGATTTCCTAATTACTTTACAAAAACAAAAAGTAAAAGCAAAAAAAAAAAGATGTAACAAAAATTAACAAAGAAAATATAACGATTCAGCTCAAAAAATAAAAATACACCCAACAACTTAAGACTCTTGACAAGAAGCACATGCACAAAATTAATTGACATTTTGACAAACGATGAAATTGTATGTTTTTCAGCCATGATTTATATCGTGTTAATGTTAATCTGACATGACAATTGTCACTTAATTATCTAGAAAATATAATAATTATGTTTTAATATATAAGACTTTAAATGTATGTAAGACACAAGTGGCAAAACTAGCAGACACTGCACAAGTCTTATGCAGATAGATTTGAGTATCTTTGGACGTTTTTAAGAGTTTCCCAACTACAACATGAAATATAAATATATACCTAAATGTTATATTACAAAGTCAAATCACAAGTTAAACCTTGTTTTTTTATGCTGATTATCATGGAATATGTATATATCATCCATGTAGTTTTATCTAGTAAGTCTTATAAATTTGTAAAATCTGTTTCAATGTATTCATGTTGGGAGTCCCTAATAAACATTTTAATGTGTATAAGTATGTATGTTTTTGATCCTGAGGCAAATTGCGACATTACAAAATCTGCTAAATTAACAATTTTTATTAATTAGTTTATATATATAAAAAACATATGTCTTTTGCAGACATACATACATATACACATATATATGTAAATAAAGAAATTGAAAAACATCACATGAGAGAAATTAATATTACAAAATCAATTATTATAATACAGAATGACGATTAATTAATGAGTGTGTTTAAAATAGTAAACAAGTATCTTATTTGGATTCAAGTTTGCTAGATCATTCCAAAATATTTATATAGGGTCTAGGTTCAAATATGGTCCGATCCCAATAAAATTTGTTTAAGTGATATATCTACACAGAGAGAAAAAGAAATAAACACGCCTGGTACCAAATTGACACCAAACTGTTTATAGTTTTTCAATATCATCCGTTGTCAAAGTATATACATACGTACGACAACACTATGTAATGTTGACAACATTGCAACAATTCGTTGTCGAAATTTAAATTTTAAACACATTCGTTGTCTAAATGTTAACAAACGTGGTAAGCTCACTATTGACAAACAATCCGTAGCCAAGCTTACCACGTTTGTTAACATTTAGACAACGGATGTGTATAAAATTTGGATTTCGACAACGAATTGTTTCAATGTTGACAACGCTACGTTGTGTTACATAGTGTTGTCGTACGTATGTATATTCTTTGACAACGAATGTTATTGAAAAATTATAAACTGTTTGGTGTCAATATTTCCTTTTCCCTCTGTGTACATACATATGTATGTATTGTTGAAATATATATAAAAGTGGGTTAAGCCAAATGTCATTTCAATACTAGAGTTTATAAAGGAATTAAGCATATACAGGCCAATTATGTGCGGAACTATGTGAAGAATAGGATATAAGATATAGGATAATAAAAGAACATCCAGTTTCCTTTTATTCGATTAAATGAATAATTTTGAATTATCCGATTATTAACCGGCTGACATACAACCTCAAATAATTATATGTCTAATAAACCGAATAATTGAATACCCTAGTATTGATGTATTGCTGTTATAGTCTTTCCAAAAGATTCTCTGAAAAGGTCCTTTAAGAGTTCCAAGCGTTCTTCTGGTGAAAGTAGTTTTAACATTACAAAACAAAAATGTTCATTTATCCAAATAATTTCACATACATTTTGGTATTTTAAAAAATAACACAGGGCTTTTTCTAAGCTACTTTTCCAAGGGATTGAGCCACGCTGAATCTGACCACAGATTTTCTCCATCACATCTGGGATTTGAGATATCGTGTCCTGAAATTTGAAAAAAAACGCAATTTTTGGCGTTTTAACAACGTCAAGACAATTCTGAGGCCAGATTTTGATTCAGCGCAACTCAATCCTATACACAGAGGGGAAAAGAAATATCACGCCTGTTACCAAATTGACACCAAAGATTTTATAATTTTTCAATAACATCCGTTGTCAAAGTATATACATACGTACGACAACGCTATGCACACAACACAACGTTATCAACATTGCAACAATTCGTTGTGGAAATCTAAATTTTATACACATCCGTTATCTAAATGTTAACAAACGTGGTAAGCTCACTATTGGCAACGGATTGTTTGTCAAAGCTTACCACGTTTGTTAAGATTTCGACAACGAATTGTTGCAATGTTGTCAACATTACATAGTGTTGTGTATATACTTTGACAACGGATGTTATTGAAAAATTATAAACAGTTTGGTGTCAATTTGGTGCCAGGCGTGTATATTTTTTCCCCTCTGTGTAGAGTAGTATACTTTGGAGCAAACAATTTGTCGGCCTGTGTAATCGATAATCTTTTTTAACAAGATATTTTTTAACAATTAGTACGAACATATTTATGGCCAGTCGAAATGCCACTATAAAAGTTTGCTACTACTTTCAATATTCTACATATTTTTAAATCAAAATAGGACAAGGCTAAACTAAATACACACACATACAACTTATTCAGGCAGACAATTTCTATTTGTTGAAATCCACAACAAAATGTTCAAAACGTTTATTAGATTTTATTATTAGAAAAGTAACAAAACCTAGTCGTACTATGTGATACCCTTCTTTATCGCTGTATAACATATTGATTCAGTTATGGACCGAATATCACCTTTAAGGAGTTTAAAGGCTCATAGGACTTATATTTATATAAACATTAAAAATTTAACGAAAATATGTTTTAAATAATATCATTTAAAATTCGTCCAGGACTCACTCACAAACCTTTTTATCCTGCATAGCTATCTACATACATACATACAATTGCAATTTGTTTCTCTTTTTTTTTTATATTTATTTCTGAGGGTAATATAATAGCCTTTAGTTATTGCTAAAGGTTGGAGTTATGGAAT